AAGCACTTCTGGTGGTTGCTTCTAAATAGGGTCAAACTTGGTGTCATGGTTCTGTAAGAAGCAAAATTGCATTCCACTCTCTACTGCTGAAGTTGAGTACATTGCGGCTAGGAGCTGTTGCTCACAGTTGGTCTGGATGAAACAAATTTTATCTGAGAATGGTATGAACGTTCATTCGGCTCAATTTTTTTGTGACAACACTAGTGCTATAAATATTTTGAAAAATCCTGTACAACATTCTCGTACCAAACATATTGACATTCGATATCACTTTATTCGTAATTTGGTAGCCGATGGAAGTATTGTGTTGGATTATGTACCTACAGATGATCAGCTTGCTGACTTTTTTACAAAAGCACTTGATTCGAAATGTTATTTGTCTCTAAGGAAATCCTTAGGAATGTGTGCTATATAATATCTATGCATTAGTGTCAGCTGGACTTGTATATATCTATATTAGTGTCGCATGTAGGATTTTTTTTTTTTTTTTTTTTTTTTTTTTTTCATTTAGGCATTGTAGTATGTATGTTCATTCCTAGAAGCTTCTTTGAATTCCTTATTGTCGGGTTTGTTGATTGGTGGTCTATGGATTCTAACTGGTCAGTTTTGTGGAGCTCGTCATGATGATCATTTAAATATACCTCTAAGAGCTGCTCTCGCGAAAATAAGCATCGGACAACTATCACATGAGGTGTTTCCTTGATCACCTGTGAAACGAGTTACGTGCTTAACAATAATCGAGGTGTGATAGCTACGGGTAGTCATTCTTAATAATGAAAGTTCATTGGTGAAATAAGGCTGGTCATCCTCATATCTTCTCAGCATGTTCTAAATAAAACTTTTTGCAGGATGATTCACATCTCAAGTAATGGGCTTGACATTGGCGTATAGTTGATGTTAGTAAATGAATTGGTGTGAAAATTCATAGAACGGAATTAGTTCATCATAAGTATTGGGGCTGAATTGCGAATGGAAATTTTGTTTTTTGCTAAGAGAAAGTGATGAATGAACTTATATTAATTTCGCTTTATATAAAGGTTGGAGGTATAAGGGCTGAGTTGTGCTTGAAGAGAATCTTGATTTCTCGCCATTTTTTTTTATTGTGTCGAGCTCATTGCATATCGATTTAGAAATATTTGATGGATTTCTCAATATTGCGTGATTAGAAATTACTTGGGTAATGTTTGATACATATTGTATTTAGGCATGTGTATCAAGGTTTCCCTAAGATTGATTCAGTTTCAAAAGAGTGCGTAAATTATTTTTGGTACATTATTCTGACCATATTTTCTTCTGAAACTTCATGGCGTATATATGGTAGTTATGTCGACGTTTTTAGTAAGTGGATCTTCTATTTTGGAGGGAACGGTTTATCTCTTGTTTGAAGTATTGGGCAAGTTTTTTTTTTTGAAATTCAAATTATACAATTGAACCGTCTCGTATTACTCACCTCGGTAACTGATACTGCTTGTTCCCATATCAATCATATCACCGTCTCTTCTCTCTCTCTCATATCAACCACCTGATTTTCGCATCTTTCACAAAAATCACTAACCTTCTATATCAGTGTCTGTTACCATCTTCTTCCTTTTTGAACCATAACGAAAAGCAAAACAGAAAAAGTGAAACCGAAGAAGGATGTTCCAAAGCCTTTGCGGCATTCAACTCGTCAAAGCCAAAGTACATAAACTCCACCGAGTATCACTTCTTCCGACATGGCTACCGAAAAAGCTCAACCCTCTCAACCCGACAAAACTAGGGTTTCCCCAAGTCCCAAAAAGTCCTCCACAACTAAAGTCGCAACTCTCGACGTTGCGGTTAGTAGTGAAAAAGGTGGCAAAGGGTCACCCTCGGTCGCTAAATCTCCTAAAAAACGAAATAAAGTCGCCGCCGTTACTATCGGAAAAGCGAAAAAGGCAAAGAAGATCATCGTCGTGCCTGAAGCTACTGCTATTGTGGATTCTCCTTCATTTTCTGGTGGAGAATCATCATCTGATAGTGTTGCTGATGGCGACTCTACGGATAAGGAAATCGACAAGTTCACCACTGAACTATAGAAATCCGTTAACCCTCCTGCTCCTGACAAGGAACCTTCTCCTCCTGTGGATGAGAATATTGTTGAAGAAATCTAAGAGGATGGTCCTGATAGTCCTCTTACTATTGGTAATGCCCTTTCCCGTCAATTTTACTCTCCTCTGTCCGAGTCTCTTTATTCAAATGTATTCTCTCAAATGAAGTTCCGTCCGGAACGGACCATTGTTGCTGCTCATTTTGAGAAACTTGGGTTGATTGAGTTGCTGAAGAAAGCTGGTCTTGAGCTTCTGTGTTAAATGTGGGAAAATATTGTCCCAAACTGATTGCCGAATTTTACTCTAATTTTTCTATCTCTATGTCTGATCCAATGTCCTTGAAATTCCATAAATTGTTCGTTAGAAATAGCATCATTGTCTTCTCTCCGTCAGTGATAAATTCAGTCCTGGGATTGCTGGAAAATTCATCATTGTTCATGACGTCTCTGAATGATAATCTAGATGAAGTTGTAGCTACATTGACAGGGGGAAAATTGAACAAGTGGTTGAACCCTAGTCTGTTTGTGAAAAGCTTAACTCCTCAAGCCAATGCCCTTCAGAAGATTGGCTCCTTAAACTGGACTCCCACATCTCACAAACAATTTGTGACACTTATTCAAGCAAGGGTTATATATCGTGTTCTATGTGGGAATCAGTTTGACTTGGGGTCTGTCATCTTTGCCTATGTTGTCTCTTTTGCCGATGTTTCGAAACCCCACAAATTGCTGCCTTTTCTCTCCACTATCTATGCATTTCTAATGAAGGCAGGGATCAAGATGGATCCGCGTGTGGGTGATGAACTTTCTCAATCTCTGAAACCCCTTGCACTGACTGGGGTCAAGACTGTTCCCCGTATTCCCTCTGTTGTCAAAGCCTCTGATGTACCTTCACAGCTCCGTGGTTTCCTTAACCAACAAGTGGCTATTCGCACTAGTTTGGAGAAGAAATTGGCTGATCAGCGCCGTTACTACAAAGAGGTTTTTGGTGCCTTGTCTGTACGTGCCCCCTCGTCATCTAAATCGAAAAAAAATGAGAAGAAGAAGGTTGTGAGCAAGGAGGAGAAACCGAAAGTAGGAAACAAGGCAAAAGGGAAGGATGTTGCTACCAAAGAAAAGGTGGATGATGCTACTGCTACTGCCAAAGAAAAGGAGAAGGCTGAATCTGAAGAGGAGGAAGAACTTGAAGAAGAAGGGGAAGAAACTGATGATTCTGAGGAAGAAACAGCTGGTTCAGAAGAGGACACTGAAGCTGAATCTGCTTAAGGTTCTGATGATGAAGACACTGAAGACGGATCCACTTGGATCCGTGGATATGCTTTTGCTTTGTCTATGTCTTGCTAAAACTTAAAAACTGTTTGTTTTGTGTGTGGTTTATTTGAACTATTTTTGCTTGCGTGGGATGAACTTTTTAAGTAGTATCCTGTGAACTATTTTGCTCTTATTCAGATATTCGAGTTGTTCACATGAACAACACTTATGCGATGAAAAGAGTATTTTTGGAGTTAGTATATGTGTTGCTAGATATGCCTTTTTGCGTGCAGGATAAAGGAAATGGTTTTCGATTTATCTGCCAAAGGGGGAGATTGTAAGTTCTGAAGATTGACAGTAAATCGACGAATCTTCTTGAGTTCCCAGGATTCAGAAAATCGCAAGAATATATAAGGGAAGTTTAATTTAAATTGCTTAATGTGTTTGCTAATTAAAGTTGATTATTGATAATTCATAATTGTGATGGCAGGACTTTGGGAACAAGCTCGAGATTCACTTTCCATACTTATGAAGGAGAGATCGTGAGTCACTCCATTTATGATCACCTTCCATGTGCACCTACTTCCCATAATACGCGAGATCTGAATTGAGCAATCTGGACTTTCCAAAGTATGATATGACTTGGCTGGGAAGATAGAAGAAGAACTTACCATTTGAGGATGTCGATAAAAGGACGACGAGACTTTGTTGAGGAGCACCCTTTTTTTATGACTTGAATTTTTCTGATTCGATATATTTTCCTTGGTGAGGATTCTTGTTTTGTTGAGTTTTTTTAGTGTGTGAGATTATTATTGTAGAGGGAAAATGAACAGAGTGTTCGGAGGTTCATTATGTTATAGTTTGATGGATTCGAACTAGAAAAGCCACAAGGGATTTGTGGTCGGATAAGTAGTAGTGCAAATCACTGTTCAAGTAGAGTGTAGAGGGAGTCTATACTGTAAACCCTTGAAGAGTGTTTGAGACGTTTGCATTAATAAAAGAGATCCGAAGGGAGAGTGGGACGCTCTCCTGAAGGTTCAATTTTCAGTGAAACTGCTTCCGAAATTATTTGAATCTTCATTTAATTCAGTTTGGTTAGATTGTATGCAGCTCTGGATACTTGGGTTACAAGTATCAAACTTCAGATCTAATGGCTAAAAAAAAGCCAAAATTATACCTTCATTAAAGGTAATGTGGTAATTTTCTACACCTCACCCAAATAAATGGGCCCCACTACATATTAATGCACGTTTATTCACCTGCCAAACTACCCCATTAGCCACCTAACCCCACCTCACCACTCCCCAAATACTCTCTCACACACACTGCGCACACAATACACACTCACCACACCTACAACACGACCGTTGCACTCACGCCGGGAACACTCCGCCACTGCCTGCCGCCAGCAGCTCGTCGTCCGCCGCCGCCGCTCCTTATTCGGACTCAACCCCGTCACACACACACACACAACCCGTCACACATACACACAGTAAAACGCACAATAAATCTTAGCCGGACGTAACGTCTTTGCTGTGGCTGCGGAAGTGTTGAGCTCTGAATCGCCGCCGTTTAACACGCTGTTTCCGACGACTCCTCCATTGTGAAGCTCTGTCGCACGTCGGTCGCCGTCGCAACCATCCAACCACCAGATATAGCCGCCTCCACTGCCGCGGCCGACTGGATGCCAGATATCGTCGGCGAACCCGACCGAATTGACTCACTGCGCTCTGCATTTAGCGGCCGACAATGGTCGCGATTCACCGGATGCAGAGCCCCTCACGACGGCGTCAGAGCGTCCCTCACGGCGGCGTCTCGGTCGCGGTCGACCACGGCAAATGTCTCCTGCAACTATATCACATGCCCCAAAGTATTAGGGATTTAGGATTAATTTGTTTCCTTTTTTTTTGTGAATTAGATAATGATAAAGGGTCTATTTGCAATTTCTTAAATTTTGATTTCATAAAATAATATAAAAAATAAATTATGATAATAAATAAATTATATAATAAAATGATAAATAAAATTTTATCTATTTAGGTTAATTCAATGTACAATTATATATATTAAAACTAGTTTTCGAATACACATAATTTATATGAGAAGCTATAAATTTGCGCACGTTATATAGCATAATGTTGCACTTTATAAAATAACACGTTGCACTTATCACCACAATCCACAATTAATATCAACAATTGTCACCAAAATATTTCTCAATATAAATTTTTAAAGTGGATCTACATAATATTTTAATATACATCACATTACAGAACACAGGCATGCTAATGTATCAAAATTTCATTATTGCACCGTATATATCAACATGTTGCACTTTATACCACAGTACATCGCACTTTATAACACAACATGTTGCACCTTAAAACATCACACTACATCTATCAAAATTGTTGTAATTATGCGAATCGATCGAATAATATTAGTTGGATAAATGTCGGATTTAGTATTTTTAAAGAAACAAAATAACCAAACATGATGAACTATATCAAAAATATTACCGATTTTTTTTTAATTTATATTTTTTTATGAAAAATTAATAATATTTTTTATATCTATATTTTTATGTATTGCGATTGCATGTTAAGGTTATACGGGTTGCCCTTAAATGCTTAACAGATAGCACAAAATCGAACGAGATCAACAAATAGAAATTCAGTACGAAATTTCGTATTTTGTGTCAATTATTATTATTATTTTTTTATATATCGGGTATTTCAGTGTGATTACATTTTTTATTCAGATAACCAAAATAAAAAATAAGCTATATTAAAAATAATAATTTTTATATATTTTTATTTAGATAATCGAACGACCGAACTACATAAAAAAGATTATTATTATTTTTTATTTTATTTGTATTTTATTATTTTTGTTTTTGTTAAAATTATAACAAAACCTATCCACACACACTATATTGTGCACTGTCAGTAAATTGAAATCTTTGGTTAGGAGCAATTCTCATACAATTGTGGACATTCTCTATAATTATTGTTCATTTAATATATCTATTCAAAATTATAGATTTGACCTATGAGTTAAATTGAAATTTAATAGAGTTTCTACAATTGCAATTAAGTCCATGTATTTAATCAAATTCTCACATGGAAGCCCCAACTATTGAAAAATAATCTGGTCGTCCTCTATTCCAGCTTCATTCGCCTGCAAAATCGCTGCCGCCTGAGGACCGACTACCTTCCATCGGAGAACGTCGTTAGAGAACGTACAAATGGCTGTTGAGCAGGACACGATTTGGCTATCCAATCGCAACGCTTGACGTCGAAATATGGATTGTCGGAGAGAATCGCCGACTTATTGGCCGATTTTGTCGTTTGGTCGTGGCCGATTTTGGCCGTCACTTGTCGATGTCGCTGAAGTTGTGCTGGTCGGTGCTGGATTTGGACGCCTGCAATTACTCTCCGTGGTCGTCGATACAAAATGGCAAAAGGCGGCGGCGACGCGGGCGGAAGGAAGGCGGTGGTCGGAGACACTGCCAGCGGATCTGAGAGGCTACGGTTGTGTGTGTTTATTATGTGCGTGTCTGTGTAATCTTGGCGCGCGTGTGTGAGAAGAGAGTGTGTGTTTGTGTGTGAGAGAGGTGGAAAAGTTGTTGTAATTGGTGAGGCTCACGTGAGATAGTGGATGATTGTGCAATTACTAGAGTACCCTTACTAAGTGGACAAATCTATACATTTGACCATTACATATACACTTATTTACAGCATTGATATTGTCTGTTTGACCATTATTTATTAAAATTGACTTCATCATGGCCATTGATATGTTACATCCAATGGTGTATATTTATTCTTATTTCTTTCACTATCAAGCATTCTCATATGATACTAACTCTATATATATGTGTATATATATGTGTGTGTATATATATATATATATGTATAGGGTCGCACTCCAGCGAGAATGGTGCTTAGTGAAAGTAATAAGAATAAATCATAGCCATTAAATCGGATGATCTAATGGATAAAAAAAAAAAGTCAAAAATTATACCTTCATAAGGGTAGTAGCAATTTTCACGTGCAAATAGTGGAACCCACAAACACACCAATTCCCCAACACCCCCGTGGGTTGTCTCCTCACCTCACCAATCACTCTCTCTCTCTCTCTCTCTCACAAAGTCCCACACACACACATACTCACTGTATACACACATTAAAATCGAAGACCCATTCAGCTCCACCATATCTTCCGCCATCTTCCTCCAGCTCCGCCATTCCCGCCGCCATCTTCGCCCTTACCATTCCAGACAATGGCCGCCGATATGGACGTTGGGAAATCGTAGGTAAAAGCACTGTTTCGCGTATCCAACGCTCTCAGTCTCCGTCTCCGACGCCGTCGCCGTACTCCACTCCGGCGACGATACCTCAAACACTGTACATGCTGGCCGCCGCTGTCGTCGTTGCACCAGAAGACCGCCACAGTTCAACTAGACACCACCGCATCTAGTCGTCTCCTCCGTGCGTCTTTGCCACCGTGTGCAGGTAAGTCCGACGGCGACAACAATGACACCAGCAACACGTTAATCAGGCTTGTGTAACCCGCTCCGCACACACTACGACCACCTCCGGCAAGACGGTGCAAGATCTAGATCCCACGGCACCCCTCGACGATCGCCAAAACTAGGAATCCGACGCAAAAATTAGGAATCCGATCAACGCACTTCACCGCCCCAATCCATTGAAGATGCCGGATTTGTTGGATACGGGGTGCAGAAGACGAAAAATTGAAATTGTGGGTTGGGGGCTTTATTGTGAAAATTAGACAAATCACAGGGGCCTATTAGCAAAATTTAGAACACATTTACAATTGGGCCAACTTACAGATGATCCGTAGCTTATTTTTCTTTTTATTGAATGCTCATATAAAATTTGGCCAGCTTATGTCTATTAAATTGGGCCAGCTCATATAAAATAATAATACAAAATGTAAAATATTAAATATATTTTTATAATACAAAAATAAATTATTTAATTTGTTTGTATAAATTCGGTTAGCTCGGTCCGATTTGAGTTTGGATTTGCACATTAAAAAATACATATTATTAATATTTTTAAAATTAAAAATACAGAAAAAAAAATACTTGAACCATAGGTTACGCAATAAATGGTATACGAAATGCACATTATCGACTGTGGGGATGCATATCAATTATGTATTTCCAACAAAAAACTAATATAAAATATCAAATATATTTTTGTAATATAAATAATAAATCACTTAAATCATTTAGGATAATCTAGTTAACCAATCAAACCAATCGATTATTTCAGTTTCATTTTAGTTTATTTTGGAACAAAACATTAAAAACGCATATGCTGCAATTGCACAGAAGAGTTAGACGAATTGCACATTAATGACTAGCATACTGCACCATAAAGATCGAGCAGACTAAATTGCAATTTTCGGTTCAAAATTCATATTTCGGTTCGATTATCTAATTTTACTTCTTAAATCACATTTATTTCGGTAGTTTCATTTTAGCTTATTTTAGAACCAAAACATTAAAAATGCATAACGTTAGATAAATTGCACATTAATGACTGTCAGATTGCACCATTAAAAAAATAATTACACTTAGAGTTCACGTTAGCGTTATATGGATTGCACATTAGTAACTGTCAGATTGCACTTTAGCGGCCAAACATTCAACCGAACTAAATTCGTGTGATCTTAGTTTATATTTTGATCAACTACCTTTGTTACTTTTAAAAATTTTGTTATTTCAATTCGAGATCGACTTTATTTGGGTTACATCGGCTAATAGATCGACTTTATTTTGGGCTTATTTTGGATTGGAACAACTAATTAAAAAATGAGTGTAATTCGAGTGCACGTTTATATTAGACTGATTGCACATTAGTGACTGATGGATTGCACTACATAAATCCATTTCCAACTGAAATAAAATTTTTTGTACAAATTTTATATATTTTGATTCGATTAACTATTTGGTACCTTTAAAATTTTGGATATTTCAGTTTGATGTTGGATGTATTTATTAAAATAACCAAATCGATGGAGATATATAAGAATATGTTAAACGAATTTTTAAAGTGCTTATCAGTATTGTGCAATTACTAAAATTTTAATAGTTTCATATAAAACGATAATAATCTCATAATGTGCATATGTAAAACCCATAATGTGCAATATACTCCTTAAATATGATGCATTTATTAAAGTTTAATAAATTACAAATTGAACCCATTCACTCAATTGAAAAATAGTTAACTTTTGTAATTTGCATATAAGTCCTCAAGCATTACCAAACTTTTAAAAGGAAGCCCATGAGCCATTGAAACACACACAGATCCGGCGGCCGGTTCCTGCCACCATCTCCGCCGCATAGTGACTGCCATCGCCACCAGAGCATCCCAGCACCATGGTCGCCGCCGGAGCCTCTTGCTGCACCGCCGTCGCAGACCTTGGAACCCATAGTAGAACGCATCTGCGCTCCCGCTCCTCTGCCGTTCTCCGGCCTCCATCGGCAAGAGCTGTCCCCTAAGGTCTCTCCGGCCAACGCCACTATCTTCACGAGATCCTTGACGAGATCCGCCACCGTCGTCTCCGTAGATGCGTCGAGCACCTTGACGAGATCCGACACCTCAGCCGTTGTCGCGGCCCGTCAAGTCGTACAGGTTACCGCCAGACGTCGAGGACCACATAGTGCCGACGATGATGACCACACAGGCTATGTATATTGCCGGAAGTAGAGAGTTTTCCATGTCGACGGCAGCGGTTGGTGTCAGCAGCGACGTGACAGGCGATTGACGTTCGGCGGCGAGATTGATGTCCGGGGGCTGCTCCCCGTTGAGCTTTTGTCACAGACGTGCGTGTAGNTGACTTATCTAATGGTACAGAATCATTCTTATTTCTTTTACTATCTACCATTCTCATATGATCCCAACTATATATATATATATATATATATAGATATATATATATATATATATAGAGAGAGAGAGAGAGAGAGAGAGATAGATAGATAGATATCACAAGCTATCACAAATTTTTGTAATTTTAAATTTAGATAATAAATTCTCTTGTAGTTAAGTTAAAAGTAACACATGTTTGGGCAAATCAATAAATAACACTATAGACCATGTTTGGTAAAACTATATGATAAGCTAACTGATAGCTAATAAGCTAGCTTATAACTTATATGCAATTTTTGAGCTTATAACTTATAACTTATGACTTATAGTTGAAAAGTTAGTTTATATGATAAAAGTATTTGGTAAAATTAGCTGATAAACTAGCTGAAATAAAAAATTGAAATAGCTTATTTGAAAAGTTATCTAGAGAAACTTATGAGATAAACTCGAGTTTTTTAAAAAAGCTCGTCCTACGAAGCCTATTTGAATACAGAAAGCTTATAAGCTAACCAAATAAGTTATATACTAGCTTATTTAACTACCAAACATAGTATTAACTATGCGTAGTCACCGTGCTATAAAAACTCGTGACTGATATATAGATTTTTTTTTTCTTTTGGGACTCAAAAAATTAAATGATGTTAGATGTGTAAAAATTTAACAATTCACATACATTTCCAATTTCAAATAAACAACCCATTTCCACTTTTTCTTTTTATGAATTTTCTATTTTCCGTATCATTTTTCAGCAAGATTTACATATAAATTACCTGGGGGCTTATTTTACTCCTTTTCTTTATTTCTTTTCCTTTTCAATTAATTTCTGCTTTTTATTCAACGAATGGTGGAGCTTTGAAAATTTCTTGGCGTGTCCGAAAATCGCAAATACATTATAATAATATAATAAGAAAAGTCAGACCAAGACACCCCAGATTCCCAGTCAATTTTCAAAGCCTTGAGCCATCAGAAAAATCAAATGCCCGAGTGAATAATTAGTTATTATTGCATATTTGCATCCCAATTCCCACATTTTCTTCTTTCCCGTTTCCCTATTTTCTCTGCACGTTCCTCTGATAGAAAAATATTTATGCCCATGTTAATATTAACATACATATACATATATAAGAGAGATAATTTCCTTCAGATTTTCATTTCCAGTTTCATTTTGTCTCAGCTCTCAGCCTTGCCAGCCCATTTGTTCAAGTTCAAAGATTGAAGCTTTTTGAGCTTTTTTGAAGGCCACTGTATAAAATATCTACAGATTTCATTTCATTGGGGTTTTTTTTCTCAGTATTTTTATTTATCTGAATATTCCGAAGGTCTCTGAGCCTATTCATTAATTATTCTGTATTATTTTATTTTAAATTTCTCTGGACAGCTGGGTTTTTCCAGTCTTGGGGTTGAGGCCTTTGTTCTTGGTGTTCATATTTTATTGTGATTATTCAACTTAATCACTATCTGGGCTTTTAGTGAAAAAGGATTTCACCTCAAGGGCCTAGCTAGCTATATCTGGGTTGCATTCGCGAAGGATTTCTAGTGATTTTTCAAGAATAAACACAGAGTAGAATGGGAAATGGCAGAAAACGGAGATTAAATCTGAGTAAGATCTACTCATTCCGATGTGGGAGAAAAGGATTTGAAGAAGACCACTCACAGATTGGTGGACCGGGTTTTTCAAGAGTGGTTTATTGCAACGAGCCAGATGGTGTTGATGCCGGTTTAAGACAATATGGTTCGAACTATGTGAGGACAACGAAGTACACGGCCACAACTTTTTTGCCCAAGTCCCTGTTTGAGCAGTTTAGGAGAGTGGCCAATTTTTACTTTTTGGTCACTGGGATTCTGTCTTTCACATCGCTTGCTCCTTATTCTGCGGTTAGTTCAATAGTTCCATTGATTATAGTTATTGGGGCAACTATGATCAAGGAAGGAATTGAAGATTGGCACAGAAAACAACAGGTAGTTTTATTGATGCTTTTAATATTCTTGCATTTATTGTTTTAGATTTGTGCAATTAATATGTTGAGCGAAGGTATTGATGGATATTCATTTTTATTTATTTATTTATTTATTTATTTTTCTGGTCCGAATGGATTCATTGGTTTTCTTTAGAGTAATCTAATGTCAGAAATTTCATGAAATGCGTAATTCATCTGTGGTTTGGGATTTATATTTTTGGCAAACAGTGCAAAATGAATATGACAGGCTGCCTTAGACCAGCTCCTCAACCAAACGCATTTTTGTTTGAGCCAAATGCCTCTGAACTTTTTTATAAATTAGCTATAAGTCAACATTTATCACCAACTACTTATTTTATAAGTCCACACTTATCAATAACTACTTATTTTTATGTTAGCAATAAAAATTAAAAAATAATGATAACTTATTAAATTACTAATATTATACTTTAATATGCTTACTTACCTTCTAAATTTTATAAGTCCAAATCTATCAACTATTACAAGCAGATGTAATTATAATTTATTTTATATTATCAATAAAAATAATAAAATAATGATAGTTTATTAAGTTACTATAATTATATTATTCAATGTTCGTAATATATTTGTG